GGCCCACCAGTCGTGCCGTAATATCGTGCCACACCCATGGGCAAAATGCACTGTCAGTTAACGACCGTTGCTGCTGATGATCATGTTCCATTTAATGGCGATTCCGACCGTTCCACGTGGCGACATTATAATCTTTGGATATGAGAATATTGGTAATTTCGACGATAATTTAGTTACAATGACTCCACGCTCTAATGTGCTATTGTATAGCGCCGTAATCGACGAAAGATTAAGAATAAAATTGAAAATAAACGCGTATGCTTGAATTAAATGACGTTGATAGTAAAGGATCGAATTTGTCGTGTTCTTTTTGTACGTATTTTGTGTAATTATGAAAAATAGTCTTGTTTGTAAATTTTTATTTTTTATTTTTTATTCGTTGCGTATTTTGTCTTTCTAATATTGGAATTACCAAACTAGGCAAGCAAGGTAATGATTTGAAACTATTTAGTGTAAGACTTATTGAAGATATGCTATACTACTATTTTAATGATTACTTTTTATTGAAATACAAGTATAGTTATATTTTTCTAATTATGAATAAAAATAATGAAGCATATATAAATATTTAATGTAGGGTTCCTTCAAATTAATATTTCATTTCAAAATATTTAAATATTTATTACTGCATCTTAATCTTTCTTTGTAATTCTAATTATTTATTACAAATTATCAAAAATCTTTACAGAAAAATGAAATTATATTCATATCAAAATTATGTGGCATCTAATGCAACAATTATAAAATTGCACATTAGTTTCTGCAAATTTTTGATTCTCTTAAGAACTGTTCTATTCAACAAAATACTAAATTCTCTTAATGATTATTCTAAAACCATAGCTGTTCTTAAAAATTATGGTACTATAATCAAAATCAATTCCATAAGTACAATTTAAGTAACACACGGCCCAAGACACTCCATCCCACATCAAAATGAAAATCAAATATCCTATCACAATGAAAGCTGTAACCAGCAGCTTTAACTTCTCCCATCTCATTATCTACTCAATTTCTAATTTTCCAAAAACGTTTTCTTAAATTAAAACTCGCCGGAAAAGAGAAGAAAAACAACGAAAGTTTAAGCACCTCTGTCGATCCCTTTCCCGAAGCTGAACGCTTCAATTATTCCATGACGTCAAATAAGGAGCGCGCCTTGCCGGCAAATCGAATTACACGATCGTCTCGTCAGGATCATCGTGGTAGTGTTCTCTTTATTCCCGATATTAGACAAGATCCAATTTACCGTGAGTTCGGAAGGTGTGTCAACTATCAATATAGAACAATATTGACCCAATTGTACCAGCGAAGGCAGTCTGTGTGCTAACGTACTATAAACCCGATAGATCCCTGTTGTTCGTGGCCGGAAACGTTACTCGGAAACTCTGGATTAATAACGTCGAAACGTGTCCCTGTAAGGTGGTCGTGTAAGAGATTTGGAGCTACCATCTTTTCGTGATCACGTTGCTGACCACGTCCTCTCTACCCAGAAATTTTCGCCTTGCAATGAATTTTCTCTTCGATGATTATTTTGGATTTCTAGAATGATTATTGTGACTAGGAATAAATTGTACAAAATTGTGAGAATTTAAGATTTGGTTCACCAAGGCAAATAGAAATATACAGTACCGTTGCTGACCACCCTCTCATCATCCAGCAATTTTTGACTTCAGATGAATCTTCTCTTGGGTGATAATTTTGGATTTTTAGAGTGACTATTTTATCAAGAAATAAATTGTACGAAATGGTTAGGACCCAAAGTTAGACTAAACTTAATATTAAACTGTATGTGGTTTACATTTCTATAAAATTATTTGAACTGTAAAGGGCTCAAAGTGCAAAAGATCCAGTCGACTTTTTTTGAAGATTTTTTGATAAATATAAAATTATTATTGAACTTATCATGTAAAATATTCTTCGTATATTTGAAACATTCAATTGTATAACACTGTTATCAAAATTTTTGGCAACTCTTAATATTAATCTGTTAGCATTATATATACATAGAATCACTTCACGATTCACGGATAATACAAATTCCTTTAGAAATCCTGCAGTATCTGTTTTATGGCATGGTTAGGATTTCAACGTGTCCTATAGTATAGAGAATGATTTGTTCTGGTTTCCATAGACGGATCAAGCTGGGAATCTTAAAGTGCTTTCAAAAGCACACGCGAACATAATCCTCCTTTTAGGGATAAAACGCAGTGTACAGCTGGAACACCCAGCTCCTCTGACAGATTTAGACGAACTTTACTGAATGCTTCGTAATGAACTATACTTTCTACTGTTATAAAACTTTTCTACTAAAATTTAATATACAACAAATATTGGTATCAAATAAATATTTTATATTCTTCAGGTGTAAAGAACAAATGGTGAATCAATAATTTTTTTTGGAAGCACAGTTTGTTTGAAGATACTATAATATTTTATTGAACCTTACAAACAGAGTTTGTTATTATTAATTGTTTTTAAAGAAAAGTCGGTTAGTTTTTCGTTACCTATTTTCCACTGATATCGATGAACAATATTTTAGGTATATGCATATGCGTATAACATTCATTGAAAATTAAATAACAGGAAAATATTGTTTCGTGTTACTCTTTTTACGAGGTCACGATGATAAAAATTGTTTTTCTGTGACAATGTCAGGAATATATTACGAGCATCCATCAGATTTGTTCAAGAAATGCAAACTTTTTCACACGTGGAAATAACAGCCCTGAAAAAAATAAAGTTTATCTACCTATGCAGCTTATGACTTCGCATTAATCAAAAAATTTTAAGGTATACTTCAAAAAATTCCCTGTAACAGGGAACATTTCTAGTACCTTTTAATATTAGTACTTCATGTCCTGTATTCGAATTTTGAATAACAGATTCATATTGCAAGTTTTCAGAAATAATAGTCATTTAAAGTTGAGTAAAACACAAAATTTATGTGTAATTTTAAACAATGAAAGAATACGCGAGTAATAATAGTTATTTAAATTTTATTGATACATAGAATTTATAAATGGTTTAAATTAATAAAATGAAAAGTAGGAATTAATAATCATGTGAATAAAACAAAATGTATACATAGTTTAAAATTACAAAACAGAAAATAATAAATAACAGAAATTTATAAAATGTAATAAACGGTTTATAAAAATTTAGTAATGTGTTAACATAACATCTGAGATTTTGTTATTATTATCATTAATACGAGAAAGATTCCACTATTTTAGAAGATATTTTTTCATTACATTAAATACAAATTACATTAAGAATGAAAATTTCAGGAAATTGAACAGTTTGTGAAAAACACATTTTTTACCCATCTGCATAGATAGTAATTTATTAAATAAATATTAATTATAATGTTAAATAGGTTTAAAAAATTGAATATCTCGATTATAAATATTTATAGAAATCTAGAATTTAGTTATATATTATCATTTATACATGTTTCCAATAAAATTTATTAAATCTGTGCTACTAAATTAATCATAATTATGATTGATAGATATACAATATATTACAGAGATTCATGAACGTATTACGATGGAAATAAATTTGTTTCCAAATCACGTTTCTAAATTAATGATACATTTTATAGTCTGCACTTCTTTCGTTTTTCTGCAATTTATCTGTTTCATTTATCAAAGTGAATGAATTTAATCCTAATAAGTTTATACATGGCTACCAATTTCCTCGAACTCTTCATCTCCTACTCGCTCATTTATATTCCTCATTCTCGTTGCATTCTTTTCGTCTCATAAATACAAATTTCCTCCTCTACTATCCCCAATTTCCGTGTTTCTTCTGAATGGAGTTTAATTTGTCTTTTGTCTGGAAACTCGTGTTAAATAAAGATGTTTAGTATAAAAAAAGAAAATAGAATTTTCTGGCCAATATACCCTTTTTTCCTTTCATCATTTTGTATTTACATGCATTTGAAACTTTCTTTATAAAGTCGTTTTTAAAAATATCATAATTCGTAACCGCTGTATAAAAATATACCTCTTTTTAAATAAAAGTATATAGCGATGCCTAAATTTATTATAATAATTTTTTATTTTGTATATAATTATCGATTTTGTATAAAATAATTTACGATCTATTTTATACTCTTTCGAATAACTTTCAATGAATAACCCTTAGTTAGAAACTTTAATTAATTAATTACCTGATAAAATAGTTTCGTTAAAATCTCAAACTAGAGTCATTTATTTCTCATCATAAAAATACACCTTGAAAGGCTGAAATTATGAAAACATATATGTAGGATCGCGTTGTATAGATAGGCTAAAGTAGCATTGCTTTATTTCTTATTAAAATACAATAAGCTATACTTATATTACGGCTACGAAACTAGAGACCCGCTACGGGTACGCTCGACTTTTACTTCTTAGATACTATCTTGAAGACCGTGAAGGACTGTTTCGCCCGCGCCCTTGTACCGCCTTGTGGTTATTTAAACCATTCATTCTGTCCTCATCTATACCCACTTCCTCTTTCTCAATCGGTCGGTAACGTATCCTAAACACTCAGGCGCATTCATAGACTTCCACTCGTTTATCGCATTCGGCTCTGTCATAAATATCCCTTACATTCGTACCTTTTGCACGCGGTCACTTTCTTTGTAAACCCAAACACACTTAACATTCTTTCAGGGCTGTCCTTATTCCATATGTTTCCTTATTCGTGTAAATAAAAATATCGAGAGCATGAAAAATTTGCTGTCTCTAAAAGATAATATAACGATATTACAAAAGATTTAGAAATAATTAAATTCGCATAAGCAATTCGATAAGTGATAACTTAGAAAAATCAAAAAAGTAACCAGCATACATTTTCTTTTTCCTTTTTTTTTTTTTGTCATTTTCATCTCAGATGAATAATAATATAGTAACATAAATTATTCCCAAAAATATGTCGCACAAACATGTTCCTCTGTACAATTGAACAAGAAGAAATTTTATTGCTAGCTCTAATCGAATAATTTTCTTTTACAGGTCACGCTCTCCATTTCCATTCTCATCAGTCTTCACGTGTTTTTCCTGCTGGTCGTTGAGATCATTCCACCTACGTCGCTGGTCGTGCCGCTGCTTGGAAAGTACCTGATATTCGCCATGGTACTCGTTTCGATAAGGTAAGTGCTCGAAACATATTCCAACTAACTTAAACACCCGTCTATCAGCGAGGACTTTTCGAATATATCACGCTGTACAAAGGCTCCAAAGTGATTTTCCTACAATGCGAGTTTCGTATTTGCCTCGAAATGTATTCAAAGAGTTCGAGGTGTATATTAGCCGGTGCGTATGCGCGAGGGTACAGCAGCGCCACGTAGCAGTCGATGTTAGAAGCTTAGTTTCTGATAAGGAATATCTATTTCGATGGATGTATAGCCACAGGTACCGAAGTCCTTCTTTCTTATTTGCATTGTCAAGATCGTGTAAATAAAATTTAATTGACTATGCATTAATTCAGTATACTAGAATATGCTGAAAATAAATTGTAATACAGTGTTCTTAAAATTCTCGTTAGAGTTTCGTTATTATATATTATTCGTTTCACGGTCAAACTGATGGGATACGTGTATTTGAAAACATTTTAAAAGAATAAAGGAGTTACACTTATAATAGTGGACTTCAGTCAAATGAAATAATACGTATCTTTTTAGTAATTATTAAATTCCATATATGATTGCTGGAATAAAAAAAATTAATGTACATATTCTTTCTTTTTTGCGCTATAAATATCGCGTCGATTTATAAAATTATCAAAATTCATGGGAAACCGTCGAATAAATTAGTTTTTACTTAAACGAAGAGAAATGTTCCCAGCAAAAACTAAATAATGAACTTTTAAACTAGAACTGTAGTTAAACTGTAACTGAAACTGTAAAACAATCGGAAACCACAACGCCGCGTTTCGAGAATTTATCTTTAATTGACTTAGCTATAAACATTTGCACGAAACTTCTAGGCAATATATTGTCCTAATCTGAATTAGACTTTATGGTTGGGTGAACCTAAAGGATGTGTGTTAAAGAGAATCTTCCATTACGAACCGATCTGAAATTGATTAAATGATGTTTATAATATACAAATAGAAAGAAGAATATAATAATTAATATATTTAATTAATCGCTAATAAATTAAAGTAATTAATTAATCACTAATACCTTTGTTATTAGCAGTGATCAAAACTAATCAAATTGTTATATATTAATTCTAATTGTAAATGTTATAAACATTCGATTAAATATTAAATAAATATGTTGTTTATTAAGTAGGTTAAATTCAGGATGCTTAAGTCATCTTAAATACTTAAAATATTTGTTCAGAAAGGAGACATAGAAAGAACTAATGACGTTCTTAAAATTTTCTAAACTTGTTTTAACTATGACAATAAAACATTTTACCATGTCATTCATAACAAAAATACGTATGTATATTTAATAAATTATTGAATTTCGGAATTACAGGGATCCATTTTTATTTTATCTGTAATTTAAGTACGATTAAATACTGCTTTAATTATTGCAGGTTTTCAAAAATGGAGTAAAAATCAAAGGTGTGTAAAAATGATATACTTCTTGTTCCACTACTAAAATTATTTTATTACTAAACTTCCATTCAATTCAGAAAGGCAGGTAATACAGTTTCCATCGTAAAGTAACCTGTGAACATTTGAAATCAAATTCATCTCTCAAAAAGACCTGCTAGCTCTGAAATGTCTCGCTTTCAGTTTATTCCACCCCTTTCCCACCCTTATGGTAACTGTCGCTCTTCTTCTTGCTTAGAGGCAAACATCTGTAGATGTTTCGTGTACACACATAACATCTAGAATCACCAAAGAGGAGAAACAAGTAATGGATATTCTTGACTCCCTGCTCGATTGGAAATTGAATTTGTCGCAATCACATTTACGATCATTTGAATCAATGGTACCAGTGAATGTACTAGCCCATCGTACTTATCACTTACTGTTTCTGCGTCCTTTTCTTTTGATGTTTTTAGCCACTCGTTTTGAAATTTCTTCTTTTCCCGTGAATAAATTTTTAATTTAATAACTAAAAATTCTTACGAAGTTTTAATCAAATAGGGTTCGAGTTTTTAAAGTGTAAAATTTATAGAATTAAATTATATTTTTGTCCAATTTGTTTCAAATCGCCATTGCTTACGTAGATTGTAGTTAAGGACTTTTTATTTATAATAAAAATAATAATATATGTATTTTTCACTTACTTTATATAACTGATAGATTATTTTACCGGTTCTTATATTATTTATACATTTTAACATAATGCAGGATATTATTACATTTTTGTAATAAAATAATAGAAACTAATTATTAATCAATATTTATCTCTATTGAGTATTCAAAAAACATGTCTCGTTATTTTTGATTACACTAAACTAAATTTATTACAGCGAAAATAATAATACTTATAGATATTGTATCGATTATTTTCAAAAATAGACATCAGGTATTAAGTGTTACTATTTTCATTGCAAATTACACGAATATGCTTTTTAAATTATTCTTAATGTGATCATATTTACAACATGGTTCATAGTCTGTGAAAATAAATATTTATAACGTTATTTAAAAAGTTTGATATTTTTGCATGGTTATGAAAGTGAACTATTGTTGAGATATTTATTATACGCTTGACAGAGATAAATTTTGATTAATACTTTTGTTATGTAACTGCAGATGTATATAATAAAACGTGGATAAATATTAACGCTGTTTATTCCTGATTTAAAAATATATGTATAATTAAACCAAAGTAAATTACATTCTATACATAGGATGTTAAATAAAACGACGATACAAATTTTCAATAGAACATACATGCAGTACTGTACACGCCACAACAATGAAAGAACAAAAGCTATTTTGATCCGATTGAATTAATAGAAAAGGAAGGAACACTGTCCACCGTAAATTCTCCATTTTATTACGACGTTATATAAAATAACAATATAAACTTTCAGTAGAATATACAAACATATACTGTTCAAAGCACGGAAATCAAGCAGCGAGACTTATTTTGTCTTCATTCGAAATATCACCAAAGGAAAGAACGTCGTATACCACGAAGTCTATATTTTATTACGACGTTATAAAAAATAACAATATAAAATAACAATGAAATAGTAGTTCAAACTTTCACTGCAACGTACGCAGAACGCAATATGAACCGCAAAAATCATTTTTCCCACTTGAATTCTCACAGAAGAAAGGAAGACTATGCACCACGAAGTTTATATTTTATTACGACATTGTAAAAAATAACAATAAAATAATGATACATATTTTCATTGAAGCACACGTGGAATGCAATATAAGCCAAAAAAGAATAAAATACTATGCAACGGAAAGTTTACATTTTATTTCGATGTTAGAAATAATATCAATATAAGGTTTTATTTAAATTGCATAAAAATTGGATATAAAGTTGAAGAATCAAGCAACAAAAATCATTTTTCCCGGCTGAATTAGTGCAAAAGGTATAGTAATGGTTACATACATTTTTAAATATATGAGCCGTTCACTGCACAAATCGATTACTTCACTTTTTGAAAAATCTTAAATTTAAGTGTCGAAGCATTTGGTATAGTGGTAGCTTTTTATATTTATAATAACTTTCCCTGATAATTAAGATTAACACCATTAAACGGCAAAAATTTTTTGGTCACTGAATACTAAATAATTTATTTCAGAGGACACTTTGATTAACTCCGTACCCTAATGTAAATCGTTGCAATAATGCAACTCAGATGCACTATCAAGCCGTGAATGATAACGGTGAATTTTTTAGTGCTGTATTATCAGAATTTAAGTAAAATTTAGTAAAATTTAAATTTATTACTTTTTTCACTTGCCAAATCGATTAACTCTTCCAGTAACATAAAAATGGTAACATTACTATCGATTACCGTTTGGCTATTCTTTCTTATAAATTTTATGTACCGTTAGATGAAAGTTACATTTGTATTTATGCATTCTACAATATTTATTTCGATTTAAATTATACAAGGAATTTTAAAAAACAATATACATTATTTTATTGTTTTTCACCACTTTTTGTTTTATGCAGTTAATCAATTTGTGCCGTGAACGGCTCATATATGTGTTGATATAATAAAGGAACGATGTCTGTTAAGAAAGGGATGAGTGGAACAAGTGTGCATGGGATAGCAATATCTAATGGATTCAGGTTATTGTGATAAATGAGTATGCGTGTAACGATTGAGGTCTGTCAATCTAATTTATGAAAGAAGAAAGAACAAAAAACGAAAATGATTTGGCATAGCTCAGTAGCAATTGAGTTTTAATAGTGAAAAGTGAGCATGTGATGCATGTGATGCAAGTGAGCATTTAGTAGTGAGCATGTGATTCTGATAAATGAATTATATTTAAACTTAATATTTGTGTTTGATAATTTTTGTCATTAAATAAAGAATTGTTCTTCTTATTATTAATATTTCATCCGCCAGTAACAAAAGGAACAAAGTAGATTGCGAAGTCTGCATTTTATTACGACAGTAATCATTCACCTATGCAGCGGCTGCTTTATGGCCGAGTTCTTTCCCTTCGGTATTCCTCCATTCCGTCTTCTAGCTTGTTTCCCTCGTCTCTCCTTGTTCTTCTTATTATCAAAATTTCCTCGTCGTCTATCGGGTGTACGTATCTCCTCGCGGTTCCAATTTAACGTCGCTTCGTCCTCATGCCGAGTGATCAAACCGCGAAACTTTACACAGCAAGCGCGGCAGGTGTGTCTGATTTTAGCTTGATCTTTCTACTTGCCATGCGCCCGCTGCTGCTGGCGATAACGTGCAACGACTCAACCCCGATTGGCCCTGAATAATATTTAACAAGATTCAGCGTAACCACTGAAACGTGCCGCGTTCTGCATACGGAACTTCAATTTTGTCATTTTGAATAAATATGTGAGTGGAATAGCAAGAAATGCTGGTAACAATACAGGTGTAGTTGTGGATATAAGATATGGTTGCAGGAGCTTAGATGATAATGGAAAGGGAATAGTATTAAATTGGATATGGATGGTAATTTATAATTATTAAAAAATATTTGTTAAATCGTGATGAACATAATTCAATAATTTAATTTATG